CCTAACACTTACAGCACACACACACACTGCACCCCTGACATGCACAGCACACACTCACTGCAACTCTGACACGCACAGCACACACATACTGCACCCCTAACACTTACAGTACCCACACACACACACACACTGCACCAGCTTCCTCACACACACATAGCACCCTCACGCAAACACAGCACCCAATCACACACAGCACACACACACAGCACCCTTACCCACATAGCACCCTCACGCAAACACAGCACCCATCACTCACATACTACACACCTCAAACACACTGCACCCCTCTCGCACACACACTACACCCCTTACACACACACACAGCACCCTCACACACACTGCACAAATGCTTTCCTAGCATTTTTGTCTCCTGGTATCCCACCTATGGAGACACCAGAGACAAATTTCAAGCAAACACAGTGCAAGTATGTTATTGAATTTGCTTGCGCTGTGCAGAACAAATACAGGGTCTTTTTCTCATGCCAGAGCTCTTCAGCAGAGCTTTGCGCATGGTCTACCCTGGAAGAGCATTGAACCAACATGCTCACTTTGTGATGGGGCGTGCTTGTCATTGGTGATGACAAAACACACCCTATCTGGCCCCGCCCCCTTTGTAGTGGGCCGCTGTAATTAAAAAATGCCCGGGCCGAATTATCTTCCCAGTCCGGCCCTGGGCGTAGGCATCCTTCTCTCCCCTCAATGTACCTTTCAACCAATCATAACTCCCCCTGCCCTATCCTTTTCTTCTTTTGAAGTTCACACTGTCTGCCTATTTAAACCCACTCCTTTAAGAATTGCTATCATCTACCACCATCCCTCCCCCCCCTCTAACTCTATTGGTTATCCTAGACTATTCATTGAGCACTTTTCTTCCTGGCTTCCCCACTTCCTCTAATCTAGCACTCCTTCCCTTATACTTGGGAATTTCAATATCCCAATCAACAACCCCAATTGCACTGATGACTCTCATCTGCTCTCTGTAACCTCCTCCTTTGGCCTTACGCAATGGTCCAATTAAGCAACCCATACAGCGGGAAACACTCTTGATCTTGCCTTCACCAACCTCTGTACTGCCTCTAATCTCTCCAATATTCCTTTTCGTCTATCTGACCACCATCTGCTGACTTTTGACATTGGCATACCTAAGACACAATTGACACCACCGTCTGAACATTCTCACAGAAACCTCCAATGTCTTGACCTAGAGCATTTCTCCACCAATCTCCAAACTCTCCTTTTACCTATCTCAAAACTCACCTGTCCTAGTTCTGCAACCTCCTTCTACAATTCCACCCTCTCCTCTCAACTAGACATCATGGTACCTTGTACTTTTAAACACCACAGGTGCCCCCAACAACAACCTTGGCATACCAAGCTCACTCGATACCTCCAAAAATGCTCCAGAACTGCTGAACGCTGTTGGAGAAAGTTTCACTGTGCATCTGACTTTCTCCACTTTAAATTAATGCTGAGCTCATACAGCTTGGCTCTTTTCTCTGCAAAAGTTAATTACTTCAATACCCTCATAACCACACTCTCCCGCGAACCCAAACGACTATTTCACACATTTAACTCTCTTCTTCGCCCTGCTGTTCATTCTCCACCTACTAACTTGACCGCCTCAGACTTTGCAACTCACTTCACTGACAATCAGTGAAGACATTGCTCATCTTTCTTCTTCCCCTTACAATACTTCCCCTAACTTCACTCCCTCTGCTGTTCTATGTTCATTCGCACCTGCTACATTGGAAGAGGTTTCTGCTCTGCTCCAGTCCTCCAACCCCACCACCTGCTCCCTAGATCCAATTCCCTCACATCTCATCCGTACTCTGTCTTCTTCTCTTTCTCCACCTCTCACTAAAATTCTCAATCTCTCTCTCTCCTCTGGTATATTTCCATCACCCTTCAAACATGCAACTGTAACCCCAATTCTAAAGAAGCCCAATCTTGACCCTAACTCCCCATCCAACTATCGTCCTATCTCGCTAATGCCTTTTTCATCCAAGATCCTTGAAAGAATTGTGTATGCAAGATTGACAGACTTCCTCGAGTCCAACTCTCTGCTAGACCCGCTTCAGTCTGGTTTCCGCGCTAAGCACTCTGTGGAAACGGCACTGACGAAAATATCCAGTGATCTACTCGCTGCAAAATCACGTGGTCACTACTCTATCCTAATTCTCCTTGACCTGTCTGCTGCTTTTGACAATGTTGATCATCAACAGCTTCTTCTCATCCTCCGCAATATCGGTCTACAAGATATTGCTGTCTCCTGGTGCTCCTCTTTCTCTGGCTCTGCTTCTTCTCCTCAACTCCTCTCTGTTGGTGTCCCCCAAGGTTCAGTCCTTGGTTTCCTACTGTTCTCCATCTATATTGCCTCCCTTGGTAAACTCATTAGCTCCTTTGGCTTCCAATATCATTTCTATGCAGATGACACGCAAATCTACCTGTCCTCTACTGATCTCTCCCCGTCCCTCTTGACTAGTGTCTCTGACTGCCTCTCTGCTTTTTCTAACTGGATGGCTGCCCACTTCCTTAAACTAAACTTGACCAAAACTGAAATTCTGGTCTTTTCTCCCTTTAAGTGTTGTTACTCCTGTGTCTGTCTCCCTCCAAGTCAACAGTGCTACCATCAGCTCCACCACGCAGGCTCGCTGCCTAGGTGTTCTCTTTAGATCTGACCTCTCCTTCAAGCCTCATGTTCAATCTATCGCCAAATCCTGTCATTTCCATCTCAAAAACATTGCGCGCATCCGCCCCTACTTAACACCAGATGTGACCATTCCACTGTCCTTTCTCGCCTTGACTACTGTAATCCGCTTCTCAGTGGTCTTACGTGCTCCCAACTTGCGCCGTTACAGTCCATAATGAATGCGGCAGCGAGGCTCATCTTCCTGTCCGCCCGCACCTCCCATGCCACACCCTTCTGTCAGTCCCTACATTGGCTTCCTATAAAATATAGAGCTCAATTTAAAATTCTGGTTCTTGCTTTCAAATCGCTACATAATGCTGTTCCCACCTATCTATCCTCCATTATATACAACTATGTCCCATCTAGGCCCTGACGATCTGCTGAAGACTTACGTCTATCTTCTGTCCGTACTCCCACCTCTGATGCTCGCCTTCAAGATTTCTTGAGGGCTGCACCGTTCCTGTGGAACTCGCTTCCCTCCTCCGTTACATGCTCACCCAGTCTCCACTCCTTCAAAAAATCGTTAAAAACCCACTTCTTCATAAAAGCATATCAATTAAACTGTTAATAGCTCCTGACTGATTCCTCTTCTGCAACTGTCACTAGTCTAATACTATTCTTACCTTTTTGTGTCATTTTACCCCACTCCCTCTAGCATGTAAGCTCATTGAGCAGGGCCCTCAACCCCTCTGTTCCTGTGTGTCCAACTTGTCTGGTTACAACTACATGTCTGTTCGTCCACCCATTGTAAAGCGCTGTGGAATTTGATGGCGCTATATAAATAACATAATAATAATAATAATAACTCTTTTTCATAATTAAATTCCAAGAACCATTGAATTTTAAATAAGCAGCACATTAAAAATTATATATTGTAAATGTGTGTCATATAGCTGATCCTTAATATGATATTCTACAGACCGTGGAGTGTAAGGGGTCTGTCCAAGCCCTGAGGACATCTGTAGAAAATGTCCCAGGGATTGCATTTTGGAAACTTGTATATATTTACTGCTGTATATTCACCTATGGAAAGATTGTAATGCGTAATCTGAAAATTTAAAATGAGTAGACTACACTGTATGCAGAATTACCTATAAGAATTATCTAAATCCAGAATTTACACTTGGATACAATTGCATTTTTAAAAATGTATATTCAGTATATATGGATTGCTTGTTACAGCTAAATTTTAAATGTTTGGATATATGTGTTTAGTAAAGATTAGTTATACTTTACGTTTTTATTATATTTGGTGCAACAAAGCTTTTAATTCAATTCCATGTCATACATAGATAAAAACTGTTCTGCTTAAAACAATTTTGTAATCACAGTCTAGGTTTTCAAAGATACTTTTTATTTAAATGGAAGCCGCCACTTCTTTAGAAACGACTACACCAATGAATTTCTTTTTTATGGGATGCTTTATTTTTCTATTAAATTTATATTAAAGATTAAGCAAATGAAATAATTGTCCAGTTCAAATGCAAATGAGGAGAAATAGAAACTTTGTTTAATTTCTCCTTATCTCTGTATGCTTTGTCTAAACGGCAGAGTACATGATGACAGGAAGCTAAGATGGAGGAGCAAAGCCGCAGGATAAATAAGTATTAGGTTCTATATTTTTATTTCATTTTTTTTTAAATTGGAGCTATGAAAATAATAGGTTTTTAAGGAAATATCGGTGTTACAGTTCTGAGCACTTTTCCAAATAAATTTCATTTAATAAATACTCAAGATAAATGACTCAAAAGAACATGTGTTTTTTTAAAACAGGATATAACTTAAAAACAAAGTAAAACAGAAAAAAGTAGTAGTATGCAGTAGTGGTAGCGATATCTGTAAGGCCTGCGCATGACAATCATGTCTCAATAATTAGTTTATGGCACCCATCCCCAAAGATGTCACACCTGCTGTTTAGTGTCAGCAAGTCTATCGTTTAGCCAGTATGAGAGGTTTGTCTTTAAAAAAAACACATTGAGTACCACAACATATATTAAAAGGTCTTCATTATTTAACATTGTAGCAATGGGTCCAGCATTCATACTGTATATACAGTTCAAAATGTCAAAAGAACTTGGCTAAATGCCGCTCTCTATGTTGGGAATCCTCCAGCTAATCTACTTAAAAAATAAAAGCAAGTTTCAGTGATTTTCTATATTTTTAAACTTATTTATTTATTTGTTTGTTAATCAGTTTTTATTGAAGATGTACGAGAATCAATGAAGAAGGGTATAAATATAAGGGTAAAATCAGTTAAATAAGATCACAAAAAACAACATTAAATGCACATATTTTATTGAATCAGATGCTCAAATGATTTAGTGAAATATTGAGTGCTAAAATTCTACAACGATAAACGTGGTCCATCATGGTCCCACCTCATGCAGAGCGAACTAGGTTGTAGAAGAGTAGGGAGGGAGAAAGGAGATGGATGGGGCAGAGAGTGGGGAGCAAAGGTCAAGATCAACAAACGTTTGGAGTGGGTAAGAGGGTTTCACTCAAATGAAAACCCGAGCCTTCAGAAGATAATTCAGCCTGGATGCTCAATCTTGGACACAAAATTCAGCCAGGGATGCCAAGTTACATTCAATTTAGCAGTCCTATCATATAGAGAAGCTGTTAAGGCTTTTATTGATGTAATTTTACTTTTCACACTTCACAAATAAATTTTAAAGTAAACATAACATAAAAAATTGTGAGAAATGACCGTTTCCCTTAAAATATATGTATATTACCTTTCTCATCTCGTTGGATGCATATTAAAAGTACTCCTTTTTAAAACTTGTTTAAGAACGTTTCATAATCTTTAAACTTAAAACTACAGCTGTATAATCGTGTTTTTTTGGTATTTGTTTAAGAGATTGTACGTTTTTGTTCGCGTGTCACAATAATCTTGCCTCTGTGCTTAAGTGTCTGTTTATATAAGCATGTCATCTTGAGATTCTAGCAGAACATAAACCAATTATCAGCATTACACAAGTTTAGCAACGTGCATCACAACCACAGTTTATATCGATCCGTCGTAAATCAGCAGAACAAGTAGCTGCAGCTGTGGTCTGTTTAACGGCGACCTGGGTTGTTAATGACTTTTTGCTAACGGGAACAAAGCTCAAAAGCCATGAGCAAGTAGAAAGTATGTAAATGTTTATGTTATTTAAGTGTTTCTCAAAAAGAAGCCCTTAAAATATCTGAGCTGTGGATGCAGGGGGCGTCACTAAGGCGTTTTTGTTTGGACAAATTGAGCTATACCCTGAGCTATTAAGAGACTGTGAGTCATACATCTGACAGGTGTGAAGTGCAATCAAAGTCTGCCCGCTTACTATAGGAAGGGGGGAAAGTTATATTTATAGAGAACTCCATTTACAAAATAGTGAGTTGTTGTGTCTGACAACCAATTTCCAAACATTTTAGGACAAAACCATTTTTTTTTTATTCTTAGCATAATATATTTTTTAATATTTATCTGGCAGAGAGGTCATTTTTTTTTTTACAAACTTTGTTGATTGTTTATTTTTAAGGTGAGTAGTACGAGAGAATTAGCAAAGCGTCTCTGCAAGATTTGGTTAGATTTGTACCTTAGAGTAAATATAATGCTGGATGGAAATCTGTTACTGGAATAGTACAAACAGGAATCAATAAGGAAAGTATGTAATAGGTGGTAAATCAAGTCATAATGTAAAACAAAGCAAACCAAACAAACAAAAAATGTAAGTGCTTCTATTGCCAAATAACAACGTTGAGTGTTCTCAAGAAGCAGAAATGTAAGTGCTTATAGTGTCTGGTTTCCCTGGCGCCATCCTTCCACTCAGTGGTAAACCATTTGTTAAATGAGAGTCCTCAGCAGCAGCCAACCCCTTCTGTGCTGACCAGGCTAATGAGGACGCATTAGAATCAGACTGAGCAGCAATGGGTCACTGTGATTGGCTGAGATTATCAGCTGGCCACTTTCAGCCTTTAAAAGTCACCACTGCGGTAAGAATTTGTATGGCTACAACAAAGTATCCAATCTCTACCTTAGCAATACTTCCAGTGGGGTCCTGGCTATGGATGTCCAGGGACCCTCATTTACAGAAACGTGAGAATTAAAATTGATTTCATATTCAAAGTCAGAACAGCCGAACTGGAACAATTCAGAGTCTAAATTATCTGTCAGTTTGGCTAGTCTGGCCTTAAATTTAAAATGCACTTTAAATTCTCACTTTAGTAAATAATAATAAAGTAAAAATACTGCATGGAGGGACAGCACCAAGGGACTACAAGTACTAAAACCAATTCAATGAGATGAAATAGTTATGGTGCCTTGAGTGTTTCAAAATTTTGTTTGTTTGTTGTATTTCCAATGCATTTAAAAGTTGCATACTCAAAGACATAGAAATGACTGCAACTATACAGTTTAGTGGCTCTGCATAAAATATCTTGTTTCAAGGTTATTGTGTTACCGTTAATACAGGTTCAGGTTTCCACTTTTACCATATCTATGGTAGCAATGCCAAAATGTGGTTTGCAAGCCTCTGTTGTGTAAATTGACTAATAGCTGATGTCAGCCTGTGGTCAGTCAAACAGTCCTGTCACAGTTGCAGCCAGAGTTTTGAGAAAATAAAGAGAAGTTAAGCAATGGACACTGACATTCTGGCTGAGCCTTCATGAAGCAAGACCATAAGATAAATTGGTCAATTATTATCTACTAATGATTTTAAAACAGGGACATGGTTTAAAAAAGCAAGTTTTATTATAAAATATTTATAAGCTGAAAACCTGGCATCTCATTTCAGTTTACCTAATTGCATTTTGTTTTTTAATTAAATTGTGCTTTAAATGTCTGTATGCATCTGTTGCAGCTCCAGTCCAATGAAAAAATGACATTAGAAATTAAATTGTAAAGATTCCAGTTTAAACACATGTGGCTGATAGATGATAATGTTGAATTCTGTACAGTTTATACACAATATACAAATAACTTTAAAGATAACAAAATATTTGTTAGCACGCTGTACTTACTACTATAGCGGAGCAGAACTGAATTTTTTGTAGCCAGTATAAATGGAGTATTTGGTCCTTTCTATACAAGTTGTGCCATCAAAACTCCAGTAAGCAACATTAACAGTTGCTATGCGACTTTCTAGGAAGTTATTACTATTTAAGATAGTTTTCCTTTTAAATATGGAAGGATTCTAGTTATCTGTTCTGAGTTATTAGTGTCTATCATCCATTCTAAGATGTTTCAAGAAGCTTTGCTGCCCCTGTATTAGAGTATATTTTTTGCCAGCCCAATATTTTGTTTATTCTACATTTTTATATAGCAGCACTGTATAATGTGCTCATAAACACCTGTTAATGAAACACCCTTGGCTAAAATTATAAAATCAACAGCTGCATGTTCACAAGCTGCCAAAATCTACTGTACAGCAAATCTGAATTTGTTTGTACCAGTGGCCATTTCCTTAGTTTCTAGCAGCATTGAATAGTAATTTTTAAAATTGTTCACACAAGTTAATATTTTTTTAAAGGGATACTTCAAGCACTACAACCACTTATTGCTCCATGCTCAGGTTGTAGTACAAAGAGTTCTCTCTTTCTCCCTCTGCTATTGTTTACAGAGGAGAGGAAAACTACAGTAACTATATATGGTGATCATATAGATGCTATATTCAATCCTTTTGTTACACTCAATTCATACATGCCTATTCCTGAACTTGGCTGGTAGGGGAAGTCATTAGATAAACACGTCTGTCATGCAAGTTACAGCAGTGATGTGCTCCTAAGTAGTCTTCTTATCTTAAAGTCTCTTCCATCCTACACCCCATCCATCCCGGCTAGTTCTATCATTGCCTACACTGACGTTTTTGCTGCCTTCATAATCACCACTGAACTGCCTCTGTGTATTTAACAGTTATACAACATACATAAATACCTTTAACCGATTGGAGAAATTTTATGGAAACTGATTGGGGTGTTAAGACCTATTCAGATTTGGAATTTGGTTTTCAGGACCTGGCATGAATGAGGAGATTATTGGTTGGATTAAGAATCCTAAAATCATTATTTTATTTGATGAAAGGAGGGTGTATTTGGGGTTAAAGAAACACTCCAAACACCATAACCCATACATTCTGCTGTAGTGTTTATGGTGCAACAGCTGCCCTAGCACCCTTCCAGAATAAGAACTCAAAACGTTTAGGAATGGTTTGACCCACTGGATCCTCCCATGCCACTGCTTCCCCTGCCGCTGGAAGCTCCTGCAAGACGTTTCCAGTTGGCTCCACTAAGGAAAGCCTAGCTAAGCCAATGAGTAAAGTCCTGGCCTCTGGGGCTTAAATTAGCAGCAAGAGCTTCCAGCTGCAGAGGAGGCAGTGGCAGCCACCCCCCCAAAAACCAAGGTAAGTTGTAACTGTTATTAAATGGTTTAACTACTTAACTGGGATGGTGCCAACTTCCAAGCCACTCCTGGCACCATAACCATTACAATGTGCTGTAATACTTATGGTGCTTGGAACCATTTTTATTTGCAATTGCAAGAGTTTTATTATTCTATAAGGAAGGTTCATCCATTTTTGAGTTACAGTGGTACTGAATCTTGTTGACCTTATTTACTGTAATATCTGTCTTTTTGGGCAACCTAAGAAAAAATGTATGCACGTGCCCTCCCTTATTAAAACCAGCCTTTTCTTTTATTGGTTTCCAGTTGTAATTGTCCACCTTGTAGAGTAGCGTTATCACTCTGTTCAAGGTAAAGACAGTGTCCCCTCTGATTACAGCTGTAAAAAGTGCTCCTTTGCTGTTGACATATTGTCCCGACAAAGTTCTCCACTGCTGGGTGGTAAGGTTGAAATTTTCAATTGAGCATCGCAGAAAATCGTCAGAGGGCCCGTTCCTCATAATATACAAATTATCTCTGTGTCCTACCATACAGTGGCCATAACTCTGCATCCTCTTTAGAGAAGCCACTGAAATCAGTTCATCTTTCATGGTCTCATACTCATAGATGATGGTCGTGTCCTGTGGTTTCCAGAGGCACACAAATATCCTTCCCATGGTCTTTGTAGCAGGCGGACCTGCCATAGGTTGAGGAAGCTCTTTGCCAAAATTCCAGGTTTGAGAAGAGAGAGAGTATTTCTCTACAGATGCTAAAGGAACTCTTTCATACTCTCCTCCAATGGCATAGAGGTGTCCCTCGTGTCCAACGAGTGTCACCTCATATCGAAGCTGATGAGGACATGCAAAATCACTCCAGGTCTGGCTCTCTGCATCAAAGCAGAAGCTTCTTTCTACCACTTTTTTGTTCGCCCCTCTCGCACCACCCACAATGAAGACCTTATTGTCAAGAGTTGCAACACCAGCAAGGAATGTGCTTGCCTCCTCTGGAATACAGCCCAGGCTCTCCCACTGGTTCTCTTGCTCATCCAAATAGCTCATAGTACGGGAGAAATCTTCAAAATACTCAATAGTTGGGGTATGGGAGCCAACTGCAACAAACCTACTTGGCATGAGGGAATCTAGATACTCCTGAAGGACAGTGGGAAGATACCGCAAATCATCTTCTAGAGATTCATAAATATCCCTGATGAACAAACCTGCATTTTGGAACAGGTCAATCAGTCCATACGTATAGGCAGCTTGGTACATCTCCAGACAGTTGTCTGAATCTATCAAATTCACCAAGTGCTTGGTCAGTACTACTACCTGCAGGAAAGCTGCACATTCTACAGCTTGTACAATTTCATCCAGTGTCAGGAGGGGTCTCTCACCTTCCATTACCCGGAGTGTAATCAAGAATCCTAAAGCTCCTAAGCTCTTTAGATGGATTTCATTCTGTGTGCTCTCTCTCATCCCAGAATCGAAAAGGGCACGAAAATATTCACTGTGAGCCACCAGCAGGTCTTTCTCTGTCTCAAATACTGTGCCTTCCACCGTGACAAGTAGTTTGGTCATGGCCTTTGCTCTGGTAGCCCTGAGGTTCTTTTGTCTAAAAAGTCGATCAAAGGAGCATTGGTGTGTCCGAGGTCACCGTCCTATTTTCCCAGTGGCAGTTTGCTGTGTTTAAGCCTCTGCTCGGAAACTGTTACTTGTCTGTTGCTAAACATAGCACTGCACATGTGACGGTGTGTGCCAGGAGAAGGAGGCATGTTAATACATCTGACATGGCAATTTGTTCTATGAGACCTGCTTCACAGCATTCATGAAAGAGGGAGTTTACTCTACACTTAAAATTAGCTTCTAAAGAATGGTGTGTGGCGGCCCAGATAACACACTGTCTTAGGTATATGGGCATTTGCACATAACACAGATATGTGAGATTATATTGCTGTGACATCTAGAAAAAAACAAATAGTGCAAAAAACAGTTTTTCAAATATGGGATTAGTATAAAGTGTCAATTATTCTAATGTGCAAAATTATTTTGTGCAAAAAACTTACATACAATTATAAAAAGAAAACATGTGTCAAGTGGAGCAACCAAAAAATAAATAAATGCAAAATATCTCTTAAATAAGCATCAAAAAACAATTGGTGCGCAAAAATTAAAAAAAATAAACCTAAACTTAAAGGACCACTATAGTTCCAGGAAAACATACTCGTTTTCCTGGCACTATAGTGCCCTGAGGGTGCCCCCACCCTCAGGGTCCCCCTCCCGCCCGGCTCTGGAAGGGGGAAAGGGGTTTAAACTTACCTTTTTCCAGCTGGGCGGAGAGTTCTCCTCCTTCTCTCCTCCTCCGATCCGCCCCGTCGGCTGAATGCGCACGCGCGGCAAGAGCTGCGCACGCATTCAGCCAGTCGCATAGGAAAGCATTTACAATGCTTTCCTATGGACGCTGGCGTGCTCTCACTGTGAAAATCACAGTGAGAAGCACGCAAGCGCCTCTAGTGGCTGTCAATGAGACAGCCACTAGAGGATTAGGGGGAAGGCTTAACCCATTGATAAACATAGCAGTTTCTCTGAAACTGCTATGTTTATAAAAAAATGGGTTAACCCTAGCTGGACCTGGCACCCAGACCACTTCATTAAGCTGAAATGGTCTGGGTGCCTAGAGTGGTCCTTTAAATAGCGTACTTTTCTCATAACTCTTTGCACTGCATCTTTAAAGATAAAAAAATAAAAACATCTGGTGCAGAGAATCTATACGTAAGAGAATCTATAAGTAAAATAATAATAAAAAACTTTGGTATTAAACTCTCTAAATCTGAGTGGATTGTATGCCCTGGAGGGATCAAGCTACTGGTGATCAGTGGGTCCTCTGGCATGTATACTGGATCCAAGAAATGGACTGGTGATATCTCAGCAAACATTGTTTCCAATAAGAATAGAAGGAATTTAAAATAAAACAGATAAAAGCTAGTGTGCATGTGTGGAGCAACCTTAAATATATTAAAGTGACTTGTAGTCTCTCTCTTCTCAATGTTCTTCAGACATCAGTTTGTATCTTTGATCCGGTATACAATTCAGGGGATCCACCGATCACTAGGAGCTTTATCCCTCTGGGGCAATCAATGTGAGAGTGCCAAAAAATCCAGAGTGCCACAAAATCCATTCAGATTTAGTAAGTTTAATACCAAATGTCTATTTTTTTTAGTTTATATTATTTTTTTTTCTTATATTTCTGGTTGTATAGATGCTCTGCACTAGAAGTTTTTATTTTTTATCTTTGAAGGTGCAGTGTAAAGAATTACAAAAAAATACTCCAAGTATAAAAAATAAATAAACTAAACGATCGAACAAAGATTGAATTGCAATTCAGTCTTCCTTCATTGTAAGTTCTGTTCATTCGTTCGTCTTTCCCCAAATTCAGTCCGGAATTTGGACAATAATGAATGCCCAAGTGTGGCATGAGCACGAATTTCACAGCTCGAGCTAGTGTGGCCAGCTTAAGGCCCTGCAGTACACGTCATCCAGGAACACAAAGATGGCGGCACCTAGGACATAGATCTGGAGAAAAAATGCAGAGGTTAAAAAAGATGAAATGGTGGACCTAGAGGAATTTGGGGGAGACTAGGGGACAATTAGAGGAACACTATAGGGTCAGGAACACAAACATGTATCTCTGACCATATAGTGCTACACCCACCAGCGCCGCGCGGGTCAGCTGGCACTAGCTCCACCCCCTTGGTGACATCATAATTGCAGATTTTTAGCCAATCCAATGCTTTCCCATGGGGGAAAGCATTGGATTGGCTAAAATCAGCAAGGGGGTGGGCCAAACGCCATGAAAATGCCTGAAGGCAATGATTATAAGCACCAGAACAACTACATTAAGCTGTAGTTGTTCTGGTGACTATAGTATCCCTTTAAATGTAGACTGGTAAGAGTTAAAAAAAAGCAATGCAGCCATGACAGTACTGCTTTAAATAAATAAATGAATAACTATAGAGAGTAGATACACAGAATGTCAATTGGCTGCTGGCATTACTCCATTTGTTGAAAACAATGAAAAGTAATATTTTTTTTCAGTTAAAACGAAGTTCAGTTGTTCCTACAAATTACATTGTCAAAACCCTCCACTAAATTTATGTAACACTCACTATTCCTTCTTTGACCCAGACTTCAAGGTCGGACATTGCACTGTATAATCCTTACTGGAGTATGTTGTAATTTAATAGCTGCTTATTTTCCAGTGTTCAGATTGGAGAGAACGTGTCAAATCAGCGATCACTCAATACAATGTGCATAGTGTCTCGTCTTGTATAAATATATCACGATGAATGTTATCTGGGCTCTAGATTATTACTTCCATTTTGTTTAATACTTTTAATCTGGAAATCCTGCATTTAATTATGTGTGGGGAAACCCATGCAGCAAGGGTTAATAAATAAAATGTATGAGAGCAAAAGGGCAGGATTTGCTATGGGTTTCCCAGGCTCTGATATTCTCGCTGAACATATACAAACAAACTGTGACTATGGACACACACAAGTCCTAAAACCACAGGCCTCCTCATCCTTCCTGTGTGTGCTGACCCTTCTGGTATGTTTAACTCTTTCACCGTTGAAATGAAGTATACGTCTTCATATTTATTTATTTTTTTCTGTGCAAATTATATACGACAAGCAATTACTATGCAGTAACTATAGTATTTACACAAAGATAGTAAAGAAAATTACACGTAAACGGAGATTTAAAAAACAAAAAACTGCAAGAGTTACTTGGAGAGCTGAAATATATAAAACCGCTAAAGACTATTTGTTGTCTTTAACTTACATTTATACATTTTAGGGCACAGACTTTGCATTGAGCTCTTTGATTGGACAGCTACAGAAAGTCTGGGCATGGTTGGTGTGGCAAACGCTCTTTTCCATGGATGTTTGCCACAAACTCCTGGAGGAGTGCGGAAGCTGGCCTCCTGCCCACCGACTATGGTCCAAGTTTGAGACCCCGTTAGAGGTACCCTGCCCAGCCACCATTAGCAGCTTTCCCTCAGTGCCCCTGGTTCGTCACTTTCCCTTCCCACAAATGGAACTGGCAGCCATTTACATGAACAAAACCACAAACGATCCTCGGCGGTACTTTACTGCTATGGAACTAATTTCGGCATGAGGACTTTGTGGTTCCCAGTCACCTCAGTGGTACTTAGCCACGAATGTTATGGAACTGTTTTCAGCATGAGGTGACCCTGTGGTTCCTGGGCTTCTTGGTCTGGGATTTTGAACCACTATGCGATCCTCTAGGACAGTGCTTTTTGGAGGGAAGGTGTCTGAAACTATGGGGAACGAACCACTGGGGGGGGGAATGAGAGGGAGGACCACTAAAGGGGGGGGAGGGGGAGGACCACTAAGAGGGGAGGAGGGAGGACCACTAAGAGGGGGGGAGAGGAAGGACCACTATGGGGAGGGGAGAGGGAGAGGGGGGACCACTAAGGGGGAAAGGGGGGACTGGAGAGGACCACTAAGAGGGTGGGAGACCACTTAGGAACAGGGAGATGAGAGGAACACAGACGGACAGGGAAGAAAAGGGAGAGATCACTAGGGGCAGGGGAGAGCTCTAAGAACGGAGGGGACAGCTCTAAGGGAGGGGAGGAGAGTGCACTAAGGGGCAGAGAGGACCTGTCAGAGAGCGGTGTGGGTCCTACCTGTCCAGTCGCCGCCCACCGGGTCCGCTCATAGCTGGAGCGGCGGGCACGTCTTGGTCTGGTGGCATTCCCACATGGTTATGGGAATGCCGCCCATCACTCACCCCTAGCGGTGGTTCCTCCTCCTCTCACAGCGGCCGGGTCTGTAAACAGTAAAGACGCCGGCCGCTGCAACTTTGAAGAATTTAAGGGTTTTTCTGCTTAACCCTTAAAGGGCCAGATCATTATTACTCAAGTAGGTGTATTACATACACACCCATGATCTCATGCTTCCCTGCAGCCAATCAGGGAGCACCTTAGACTATATAAGCCTGTTTTGTCCATTTCTCTGTGCCCTGTCGTGGTTTCCATTGTGGTTATCCAAGTGCGTGTTCCTTGTATTGATTCTTGTGTATTTGACCTTGGCTTCCCTTTTGACTATCGGATCTCTGTATTCCTTGACCTTTGGCTTGGCTCCTGACTATTCTGATATCTCCTCTCCTTGACTCGTGGCTTGTTCATTGTTTCCGTTATTTCCACGTTTTGTCTTTACCCTGTCTTGTGGTTTTTTCCTTTATATGTTAAATCCGGCCATTCTAAGGCCCAGTAATACATCTGATGAATTTTCTTTTTAACTACATAAGTTCTGCGTGTTGGGCATCAACACTAACCCTGACAATCCCTTACACAAATTGGTATCCCTACACAACATTCAATAAGAACACACACACATGACATCCTCTACAATAACACATAACACATCCCCTACACACATACACAGCAAACTCATGTGTGGGCCATGTAGGTGGATTTATGGACGGGTCTTGTAGGCATTCTCATGGTCAGGCCCTGGGGGCCAAGACCTTGAGCTCTGTAAGGTGCCCCAAAATATGGAACTGCTTCCTGTTCATTGATTTTTGTAAGCACTGTTACAAACAGTCTCCAGAGAGCCTCTTCTACACCAGACTTGTGGAGCCAGACTGCAGCCAGAGCCCATCATCATCC